CTTTGATAGCTTGCTTAGAGTAATATTTGCTCTAAACTCAGTGCCTTTCTCTTTCATTTAGGGGTAGGTGTTTGAAGCATAAGAATGGTAGTGCAACATGTGGTATGGTCAGAAATTCTTAGCATTGTATGGCAGAAAAAATTCACCTCTGAAGGCTTAGTATGTGCCACTCACTGTTTAACACACTCCACCATCCCACCAGTTTTCTAATTTACAATTTCACAATAAAAAAAAATTATGTTACAGGACATTTACCCTGGATCTCTGCCTGGCTAGTCCATGTGGGAGGCAGTAGGCACACTGCATACAGTGTCCCCAGGGGAACCTTTGACAGGAGCCTAAGCTAACCGAGACCACAATTTAGCCTGTTCACTGGGCATGCAGCAAGAGTGCTGGGCTGAACCCCCGTATCTCTTCTCTGCTCTTTAACAAACTGTGCTAGACTTCCTTAGTAAACAACTCTGGGAAGTTAAATGTACCACTCATTCTGTTTTTCAGCATATAAGGAGTTTGCCTTGAGATACAGCTTCCTGTGCTTCCTAATCTTTAACTTCTTCTTCTTAACTAGCCAGTCAGAGTGTCATCGAAGGGTGCGAGTACTGTTGGACTGCCCTTCTTCCTGCCCCTTTCTCCTATATAAGCTTGTGACTTCTGTCAAATAAACAGATATCCCTCACCACCAGTGAGGTGTTTCTGGTGTTTCTGAAGCAGAGGGACACTGTTGCCTTACCCTCCCCCCGAAGTGGTCTTGGGGCCTCCTGGACAGAAGATGACCAAGATGATGTCATTCACATTACCATTTTAGAGACAAAAAAAAAAGAGAGAGTAAGATCTGTGGGAGCTGTGTAGTTTTTGCAAAGATCCTTCAGATAAGAGATAAGCAGAAGCAGGTTATAGCTGTGCTGGGAAGACTATGATATCAAAGAGGAAAAACACAATGCAACCCTAGGCATGGACGAAATGACAATTTATGATTGCAACAGGATTCATTGAAGCATCAATGAGTTTGAAATAAGGGTTATCATTTTCAGCATCAATTCCTTATGTTTTTCTTTGAATTTTTGTTTGTTTCTTTTATTTGAGAACCAGAAAGACAGTGAGATATATATGGAAACTGTCAGAGAAAAAGAGGAAGCAGCCATTCACTGGTTCATTCTCCAAATGTCTGCAAATCTTGTTGGTAGGTTAGGATCCAGATAGAATCCAGGATCTGGGAATCCAGTGCAGGCCTTCCCTTGAGATAGCAGGAACTATTACTTGCTTTTCCCCAGTGGCTGCTTTAGGAGTAAGCTGGAATCAGAAGCCCTCAGGACTCACACCGAGTTCGCTAATATAGTTGTTCAAACAGTATCTTAACACTATGCCAATTTCCCAACTTAATATGCTTTCTTTGTTATACTTTACTCTTAGTATTAGTAGTATTAGTAGTATATGGTGCTTCATTTATTGTTAATAGGATGACAAGACACAATTCAGGAGTCACTGTTGTGCCTTAGTGCATTAAGACATCACCTGCAACACTCATATCTAATTTGGGCACTGATTCAGGTGCTCCACTTCCAATGGAACCTCAGCTAGTGCATCAGAGAAAGCAGTGGAAGATGACCTGAGTGCCTGGGCTCCTGGATGAAGCTCCTGACTTTGGCCTGGCCTGGCCTGGGCTCAGCTTTAGTGGTCATAGGAAGAACAAATCAGTGGGTAGCAGATCTCTCTCCCCCCACCCCTGTGTCTCTGTGATTATATATCTTTCAAATAAATAAAATCTTTAAAAAAGATACACTTACTTTTTTTAATGTGTGACAAATTCAGGGGTTAATTCTTAGGAAAAACAAAAACCTTCAGGAAAATCATAAACTTTGACTCAGAAAAGGCAAAGTATACCACAGCCAAAGACAGAAAATATATTTAAACATTCTAAATGATGAAGGAGAAAAATGATTTTAAAAAGTAGAGGAAACATAGGAAATTTATGTTTGACAAAAAGCTTTTAGTCTATCTGATTTCACTCTTTACATACACTGAATTACAAATACAGGCAATAAAATATATGCTAGTTTTCATATTACCTCCTAGTGTTCTTATGATAAGTGAATTAAAAGGGAAATGACTTTTGTCATATTATATCTAAATAATTATGCACTACCTCGAGGTTGGATTAATAATTATCCTTTGAATGTTCATGGCTTTTTGGAAGTGCTTCAGGATTCAAAATACCTGACACCTAAGTTTGCTTTGCAATAAATGTAATCTTCTTTATTTTTCTAAAAGCAAAATATAATTATCTGAAGACGAATATAAAAGTTTCAGCTAATAGTCAATTCTCTTGTGGGTATACTTGAGGTGTAAGTTACAAAATTAATGATGAAAATAATGAAATATATTCTATTTTTAAATGCTAAGATTTATCTGAATATTTTTGTAATGTTATTGTAGCATAAATAGTTAATATTTCTAACCATATTGAATATTTAAGAAAGTATTAACATTTGGCCCAGCACAATAGCGTAATGGTTAAGGTCCTTGCCTTGAATGTGCCAGGATACCATATGGGCGCCAGTTCTAATCCCAGCAGCTCCATTTCCCATCCAGTTCCTTCCTTGTGGCCTGGGAAGGCAGTTGAGAATGGCCCAAAGCCTTGGGACCCTACACCCGCGTGGGAGACTCGGAAAGAAGTTCCTGGATCCTGGCTCTGGATTGGCACAACACCGGCTGTTGCAGCCACTTGGGGAGTGATTCATCAGACAGAAGATCTTCCTCTCTGTCTCTCCTCCTCTCTTTCTGCCTTTCAAATAAACCAATAAATCTTTTTTAAAAAAAGAAAGTAGTAACATTTAAGCTTTCAAATATTTTTTGAATTTTGGTAAACTACGTCAGAGGAATGATGGACATTGCAAGCTATCGTCATTATAATGACTACAGATTCCATTCCTTCCTACCTAATTCTTAGGTGGCCTTGAAGTTAGATACTGTAAGTGATAGAATTAGAAAATTGCAGAAGAGTGCTTTCTTGAAGGCCTGGGGTTCTTCTGGAATGTCAAGCTTTGACTGCTAATGTAAACTCTCATTTTTTAGGAAACAATTCTCTCTTACTACATGATAAAAATGAGTATCAACACTCATTCCTACAATTTTCAAGGCAGTAGAAACACAGGATCTTTAGGACATTGATTGCACCAAGATTTTCTTCCTTACCACATGGACACAGTAGGACACTTACAGAAAAATTCAGGAGTAGGCATTTGGCTTCCTGATTACGGTGCTAGTGAAGATATCCCCATCCCATATTTGACTGCCTGGGTTCAAATTTCTGTCTCCTGCAAGCACAGACTTTCGGGGATAGAGTTACTATGACCTTGTGGTCCACATGAGAGACCTGCATTGAGATTGTGTCCTCTGGTTTTGGACCCAGGATGTTTTGTGGAAATTTGGGGAATGAAACACCTAATGGAAGAGAACCCTAGGTAAGCTCAACTCGGAATTTAATCCGGCATTCAGAAAGGCATTCAAAAAACTTTGTTTCTCATTTATTCTTGTGAGATTCTTTCACCATGTATTTTCATCCATGTATTAGAGTTTAGCAATGATTATGGACAAATTTGGTTTTTGAATCACCAGACCTTAACTTCTTTTATAATCAATTTAATTAATTTGTAAAGTGATTTGTTAAACTGATTTGATATTCATATTTGATTAACAAATCAAGTTATTTATTGCATTAATCTAATACTTATGGGCTTCGAGTTTGATGAGAATTTTAATAAAAAATTGCTCAGCAATAGGAAAATTCCATAGCAGTTTCATTTGAAAGTCCTAGAAAAGCCACAGCATATGAAATTCTTATTTGCAAAAGTTTTCAGTAATGAAATATTCAAATGTGACCTATAAAGGTGTTATTTTGATTTCATAGTACTATACATAAATATATTAAAATAACTCATTTTAGACCATATGAACTTTTGTGCTGCAATCTCACATTCTGACATAAAAAAATCACATGATATTAGAACTCTAGGCAATTATTTACCTGGCTATGAAGACATGTAATTCACAGAACTCAGGCCTGCCAAGAACAAAGCAGTCATCTCCTACTTACCATCTTTCCCATACATTTGCACCAGCTTATTTTGCTGATGTTGCTTTAGAAAATAAGATATAGGGCTTGTCTTAAATGTGAACTATAAGTATAAATCCATTAATCATTGATATTTATCTTAAGTCATAGCTTGACAAGGAGAAAATGGAGTGGATTTAAGAAATTTGTGACTTAATGGGAAGGAAGAAAAATCGTTGAGAGCACAGAAGCTCTGGCATCCGTAACTGGAAGATTAACAACTGGCTGGGGCTCAGTTAAGTTTTCAGATAATACGCAAGGAACGCGATAGCAATAGTCCGTGCTCTGGTTTTATCATTTGCTACTTGACAATCATTGGTTTCCTTTTGTCATTGTTTTGTTTTGTTTTAATATGGATGGCTGAGACAGTGTTCTTTATAATTGAAAGGACGTTACAAATTCTCTGTGAAATGGACACCTTAGCACTGCCAGATCTTTACTAAGGCAAGTGTTTGGAAAAGACCTATGTTCCTTGTTACAAGTTCCAAGCTTCAATGTTTAATCATTTTGGAATTTTAGCCTAGTAGCTGTGATAAGAAATACCATGTGTCTGTCTTTAATCTTATGTTTGATCGGTAGATATTAATGCAAGAAATCATAAAGAAACACTTTAAAAAACTGGAGTAGTGGGAGAAAATGTTTCTAATCTTCAATTGTGAGGTCATATAAACATTAGTATATTGATGGATTTAGTTACTTGATTACAATGTTTTGTTGTACTATAATTATATATTGAAATGTGGTTAAATAGATAAAAGCATAATGTATATCTTAATACCAAAAATATGGATATTTATTCTTCTTACACGATAACAAGTTAAAATGCTAACAAGAGAGTGAGAGAATATTTCTGCACTATTATACCGCTGAGCCAGCCTGAGCACATTACCTTTGTTGCAGCATCAAAGCAGATAAATCCAGTGCTAAAGTCAATGGTGAGTCCCATTAGATGACTTTCTAGAACACACGCATATGTCTTGCACTAGATAGAGCAGAAAACACAGTTACTTTACATAGCATTGATGCAGTGTCAGTGTCAGATTATGTTTAGTTACTAACAATATCAATAACTGTGTGAGAAACATAATGTTATCAACATCACATTATTAACAAAATGTATGTACTTCCACATGGCACAGGCTAATACACATGCGACATTTTTCTTACTGATTCGTGTAAATATTTGATTATCAATAGTTCAGTCAGTAATGGCTTCACACTGAGATAGAATTATTTTAGAGTTTTCCTTACCATAATATTGCGCAAAGACTGATAACTGCTGATAATTGGAAATTACATATACTATGGTAAATTGTTGCACCTATAGACCAGTTTTATGTTTTTTTTATTGTAATAGGACATTCAAATGATGAAAAATATAATTTATACACAAAATAACAGAGATAAAGAGCATGTCATCTATTTCAATCAAGTTTTTTATATTGATTCTACTAATCCTGTATTGTTCTTATTTTTATACTATATTTTTCATATCATACTCTTATACATTAAAATGATCATAATTTCCATAAAACAGTCTAAACATACAGTAAGGAAATCACATTGTGATAGCAATTATAGTTGAATAGATCTAGTTACTTTCACCAGAAAGCATTATTTATAGGTTTGAATCTAAACTGCATATAATTATAGCCATGCCAAGTATTCAGTACAAGTTAAATTTTTCAGAGAAAAATATAGACTAAAATGATATAGAATAAAATGATGTTTAAGCTATTTATCATCTTTTCACTTTTAATTTTAAAATATCTGTTTGACTGAATTGCTATTCTGCACTATCATATTTTGAGATGCATTCAGCTACGTTACCAATTTTAAATATCTACAGAAGCTAGTAGAGATATTAGAAAATATTGCTTAGGGAATGAAATGGTTACAAATTGAGATCTCTTCTTATTCTCTTTGCCTTAGTAGCATCCTTCACATGCAACATGGTATGCTGACAGCAGAAATGTGTAATAAACCTGTAATTAGTTTAATATATTGAAAAAACTATGTGCAGAGATCTCTGCTTTTAGGCAAAGCTCCAGTATTAGTAGTTTATGATCCTCATACTTTCTTCCAGTCAGATACCCTTGTTCTTGCTCTGTGAATCTATTTACTTGTTACAAGTGCATCCGAATATTTTAGCTTTGCCACAAGTCTGTTAGAAATCACCTCTAGAAACATTCTTAGGAATCTATTCAATTCCATAGTCTTCTGAATTACAGAGGCCTGAAGCATATACAATTGGATGTAGATGTGACTTCAGTTTTTAGACATAGAGCTCAGGAAATACCTCCTGAGTACCTGCAAGATGACTCGCTCTAATTTACAGCATGAATGAGTAATGTTGTACAACCTGTGGTTTAGTGTGGGGAATGACAAGTACATTCACCCCGCTAGAAGACAACGTGAGTGTGAGCAGTTTTAATAAAATAGAAATAAGAAAGGACTATAGGTAAGAGTGGGAAAGAAGGAGTTTAAGCATGATCATTGTGGAAAATAATAGTAATTGGTAAAATTACTATTTACAGAACAAAAATCAGAAGAGTGTTAATGGATGATATGACCTTTGAAAAAGAGTCTTAAAGATGTATACTGTTTTTGAAGTGCTGAAATGAAAAGAGCTATTTAGAAGAATGTTGTGATGGAAACAGTTTGGAAATTAGATAATTATGTGGACAGAATCAGAAATGACCATGTAAGAAATTTACTAGATTCAGGACATGTTTGTGTTTGATTCAAACTACGGATCTATTTTTGATTAAAAACGGAAATACATTTTGGTAAGTAGTAGGACATAGACGAGAAAAATCAGATGGAAAATGAGGTGGAAAAATTAAAATGTTTAAAGCCTTATTGCTGTTCATTTAGCAAAAATGGCAACTACTGGATCCATGCATTTTTTCTACACAGCACTGAATTCAAACGAGAACATGAGGTGAATCTTCGGTTCTCACAAGGAGCCACAGACACTTCATCCCAGACTCTCACCTGTATCCTTTCCACTTCTAGGAAGGTGGCAGTCTGGAAGGCTCTTTCCCACTGGGCAAGGTCACAGTCTAACTCTACAGAGAAGTAGAGATCCTCCCCAGACTCAGACTGCACGGTGAAGCAGTGTTTCCGCCGGTCCAGCAGGTCACTGTCCTGGTAGAAAGCCAGAGTTACACAGGCAGACACAACATGGATCCATGCAGCCAGTGGGGTCAGACCTTGACAGCAGCAGCAGTACAAAGTACACATTCCAAAAAAGAGGCAACACCCCACGACCTTGGTAAGTCTTCATTAAATACGATCCCAAAACACAACACTCCTGATACTGAAGGCCATAATTAAGGCATAACTTTTCTGTTATCACATGGAAGCATGGCCTTCCAACTGAAAGTTGGAATTTTGCCTTCCAGTCTCACTAGCAACATAACCTCCAAAGAAATGTAAACATGAAACCCAGTTTATTACTGTATGAAGGGATGGCACACACATTCCCTTCTTCCTTATACAGCTGCAAAATGCTGAATTAGTGCTATGACTTTTATAGCATTTTAAAATATTTAATAAAGTTCTTATTTAATTTGTGATACTTTTAAATAATCATGAAAATCTTCTCATTGAGAATCAGAAGGTATACTGCATTTAAAAATACTCCTTCTTTATATGACACTGCGTATCAGAGAGACAAAAGACTTTGACACTGGCAATTATGTCATCTTATCAAAACATTTCAACTGCACTGTGCACATATTGGCATGTATTCCAATTGCAGGGTTGTTAAGCATGAAAAATAATGTACTTAATACTGTATGAATAGAGTAACCTACAAAACTTGTCAGGTGTAACTTTGAAATATGTATTTGTTTGCCCACACTGGCAAACATACACATATACACACGTTTAAATGAAGTGTACTAAAAATATCAAAATATTAATAATTGGGAACTTTGGTGGTTTCCTTAAACAGGCAAAAAGTGTATCATTGTTATATACCAATGCTGGACCTCTCGCCTTTCATAAGTGTTTCAAAAAGCATAACTATTTTTCTTGCTTCCCACTTGAATGCTCATAACTGCTATGGCAGGGCTTGTAAAAGAAAGCCATTTCCAGAGCTAAAGAATTTAGCTCTCATGATTGGTGTCAACAGAAGCTGAGCAAGTTAAAGGTGATGTACTCTGTGAATGATCAATCCACTTTCCTGGTCTGAGGCAGAAAAAATGAAAATACATTTGTGTGAGTAAAACCTAATGACAAAATAGGTGCTACAGTAGTTTATGTCAATTTAGAATTATAATTTCTAGAGAGGATGAAAAATGCATATCATATTATTTCAACAATATGCTTATATCAATTATTATAAATTCCATTGTACGAAATAATGCAAACTATAAAAATATGATTGAGAAACAGAAAAATATGATCTTGAATACAATTTAAACAGTCTTGAAAGATGGGAGGCAAGGAGGAAGAATTTCTTTTCAGATAAAGAAATGGGATTTTCAGAGGCCCCAACCAAGTCTGAATAGCATATTCCAGCATTCCACAAAATGTGGCCAAGATGTTGGAGCAAGATAGGCAAAAAGAGATGGAGTCAGTGATCATGTTAGGAGTTTTGGGCTTAAGCAAAGGAGTCATGATGAACCATGCACAAAGCATTACAGTTGTATTCTTTCCTTTACTGCACTTACCTTGACAACTACGCTATCATTTTTTTTTTAATTAATAGCATTGGTACAAAACATAAAATTAAACATGTTCATTATCTTCAGACACATTGCCAATTGTACAATTTATTAAACTGATCTTCACTTCACTTTCTTCGCAATCTACGATGTTAATCAAGGCCATGACTAGCCATTTTGCAAAATTTTTTCAATCTAATAAATCGTATGTAGCAATATAATTTAAAATTCATCTTCCTTTAAGATGTTCTGCTGTCCTGGAAAGTGGTAATGTCTTAGCAAAAATTAACACCTTTATTATTTTCAAATGCAATATTGTAGCTCTTATTTACCTAAGCATAGAAGCTCTCACTATCAAAAAGCTAACAGCTCTCTTACATTCACATGCTGTGTAGTCACATGCTGTGTTTATTATACAGCTTTGCTTATGCATTAATTCTTCCTACTGAGTACACTAACTAAATATTCTGGGCATTTTTACCTTCTAGACTCACTTGAGTTGGAAAGAAAAGTGCACAAAAGGATGAAAAAACATTGGTTCAGATATGATGTCACAAGGAAACAGTAATGGGCAGTAAGACATTCTGGAGAGAGAACATTTGTTGTAGGGAAGTCTGTAGTATTATCAAAGGCTTTAGAGACACAATAGGCAGTTCCAAGCCTGTGTGAGTCAGATGACACTCTAAAACATTCCCAGCAATCCACCACCTGGAGAAACTATAGAGGGACATCAGGAAAGGAGACAGGAGTGGCTGCATTAGAGAGAAAGAAATGGGGCAGTGAGAAAAGAGAGAGAAAGAAAACTGTAACTAAAATAGCAAGTTATGATTCCTTTTAGAGAAAATTGCCTGGGGCCCAAACAGTATAAAGATCTGCTTTGAAAGCAGTCGTCTCAAATAACTGCCTCTGGATTCCCCCTTGTGGCGTTTGCTCCTTTGCTGCTTAGGCCCTGTCGAAGGTGATGCTTCATTTCCTCTGCTTAAATTTCAGCTATGATCAAGTTATGTGCACATAACAAGATGAAATACTGGAAAATGAAATTTGCATAGAAATAAATTGATGTTGGCTAAAAAGCGATGATTGTAATGTGAGTATATATGTAAGATGATTGATAACTAGTGAGACAGCTGGATAGATGACAAATACAGATAATAGAGAGAGGAAGGAAAGAAGGAAGGAAAGAAGGAAGAAGTAATATGGGTGGATAGTTGAACAGACAATAGATGATAGAGGGGTAGACCTCTGACTAGGTGATGATGGTGATGATGATGATGATGATGATGATGATGGTTGATACAGAGACATATATCAATAGATAGGTAGGGAGATAAATGATCAATAAACATATAAAAGCATAAATAATATGTTGATAAAAAAATCAGGTATCCTCCCTTCATCATACTCTCACAAGAATAATTTCCTAGTGAGATCATTAGAACATAGGCTCTAGCTATGGAAGACTGACTGGACTTACATCCCACTTAGTACAAGATAATCCCGGGAAATTAATGACCATATCCATGCATTTCCTAACTTTCCTGTGAAATGGAAATAACTAATTGTTCTGTTGATAATGATATATCTAATTTAGCTTTGATTCTTTGTAAATTAGCTCATAATAATAACTATTTCTGCTGTTCATGTTGACATTTGTTAAGGTAAATATGCACATCATTCGTTAACTTCTTCTTTACTGCTTTGGATATTATGAATATTTCTGTCTCTTTGTCAGATTTGTAATTTGATCTTGGAGATTCAAAGACTTCCTGGTTTCTTTCCCACTCATGGGATTCCATTGCTTCTTAATGGTCATTATAATAACGATAAGCAAACGATATCATGAGTTTCAACTGTGAGTATTCCTTATTCAGACTTCTTCAAAAATATTCTTACTTTTATTTGTTCCAAGTTCCCAATATAGATTTCACTGACCACTAACCACATACTGTGTTTCTCAGGAGTAGTAAAACAATATTATGATGAAACAATATCAACATATTATAAATATCAACATATTATGAATACGTTTGCAAATCAGGCAGTTTTTTCTGCAACATAGAGAAGACAATGGGTGTAGGCAAAGTGTATTTTTATGAAATGCAAATAAATAAGCAATGTGCTTAAATATGTATTGGTTTTCCAAATATTATCAGTAAGAAATTTACATTTTGCTTAAAACACACAAATAGGGATTTTTAAAAAAATCAGTGAGATATCTATATGGCAGATTTTCCCCTGATGTCCACATGACCCATTGGCTTTTTGACACACTAACATTATATGGCAGTTTTTTACACTTTGTTTGGTTCACTGGTCATTGCTCAAATCATGGCTATTTTTTTCCTCAAAATAAAGGACACTTGTAAAGCTGACAATAGAAATGAAAAGCTAATGAGCCCAGAAATCAACTTTTGTTCTTATTTTAGAAAATATAAGATACCTTATATGCTATGTTACTTAATGGATCAATTTAAAGTAATTAATCTACTACATTTTTTTACTTGAACTTTCAATGAATTTGCTAAGTCACTCAATCTTTAAGTATGAAGTCACTAGAACAAGCATATACTCTGATTTTTTAATTTAAGAAAGGAGAAACAGGATTCTACAAGTAAAAATAACATCTTTGTTTAGTGTTTATAACTGCAAGGACATACTGTAGAAATCAATTCTTGTCAAATAATTTAGAGATGAATTTCAAGGAAGCATCAAGTACATGAACTGATGAGCAGATCAACAAGTCCCTTAGAAAATGTGATAGAATACACAACCCATTATAATCCTAGTTTCTAAAAGTTCTATTCTAAATTTTTCTTTAATTTTTCATTTAATTTACTTTTAATTTTTTTTTTGTTTTAATAGTCCATGGTACAGTTCCATAGGCTGCAGAAATTCCACTCCCCCTCTCTAAATCCTTGCCCTCTCACTAACACCCCCCATTTCATTACAATAGTATAGTCTTCAGTCAGTCATAAGTCCATTATTCTATTGTTGAAGTTACCCTGATATTGTATGCATGAACAATGGCAGTGAGTCCAGCATCCTATTGTCAAGATACATTGAACAGTTCATTGGGAGTCCAACTTGGGCTTGGAAGTAGAGATGCACACTTCATTGTAGCTTCAAATTTGCCATATGTTGCTGAAGCAGCAAAAAAGAAAATCAAAGATTTTCCTGAAGTAAATGACACTATTGTGTGCTCTCTGAATAAATGAGGAAATTATTAAGAAAGAAAACTATTCTGAACTAATGAAAATAAAAATATCAAGCCCACTGAGATGTAGCAAAAACAGTATTGAAAGGAATATTGATCTCTTATTTTGCTTGAAGGACGCCTTATATCAGAGAGAATATATGATATTTTTTCTTTAGGGATTGCCTTTTTCACTGAGCATAATGGTCTCTAGTTGGGACTGCTTGGTTGCAAATGATAGAAGTTCATTCTTTTTGATGGTTGGGCAGTATACAATGGCA